GGTCAACATATTTTCCAGAGCACCTGAAGGTAGGACCAGAAGTAATGGATGGACTCTAAACAAAGAGAGAAGCAACCTAGAACTAAGGAGAAATTTCCTGAATAAGGACAATCAACCAGTGGACAACCTGCCTTCATCTGAAGTTGTGGGTGCTCAACATTGGACACTTTTAAGAAGGGACTGGATAACCATTTGTCTAAGATGGCATAGGGTCTCCTGCTTAAGCAGGGGATTGGATTAGAAGACCTCAAAAGTCCCTTCCAACTGTTATTCTGTATTCTATTTTGTGTTCTGTAATTTTAACCCATTCCCAAATATCCAAACTGAGAAGTGTTGCAAAGAAGGGGCAGTGAATGATCATAGTCACTAATATATGGAATTATCTCATGGAATACACCAAATGCCATTACAGTTAGCAAATTATCATCACCTTCCTCCAGATATAATACAGCTATAGAAGACAGAACCATACAAAACCACTTGATCTCAGAAGCAGAAAACATTAATGCTCTAATTTGGAATTAAATCCACCATGTCTCTATTTATTTTCATTGATCAGCACCTCTATTTTCTGCTTTTTACAGACAAATCTATTAGTCTTTTGAAATTTTGAAATGTTGGCTGAGAAACCATACTCAATGAGTAGTTCTTAATGGTACTATGTCTACATGGAGGAAAGTTAGCAGTGGGGTACCACAAAATTCCATCTTAGACCAAAATTTCATATCTTCATAAATGGCTTAGATGAGGCAATAGAAGTAGAACTGATCAAATTTGCAGTTGACACTAAGCTGGCAGGAATAACCAATAACTCCAGAAGACAAGCTCAGGATCCAAAAAGATCTTGACAGACTTGAACAATGGGCCCTATCCAATAACATGAAATTTAATGTGGAGAAAAGCAAGGTTTTACATGTAGGCAGGAAAAACCAAAGATATAAGTACAGGTTAGGCAAAACCTGGCTCAAAACTGTAACTGTGAGAAAGACCTTGGAGTCCTAGTGGATGATCACTTAAACATGAGTCAGCAGTATGTGGCAGCAGCTAAAAAAGCTAATACAATCCTTGGTTGTATAAATAGAGGTATAGAATCAAAATCACCTGAAGTATTAGTACCGCTTTATAAATCCTTAGTAAGATCACACTTGTAATACTGCATTCAGTTTTGGTCACCCCATTGGAAAAAGTGCAAAGAAGAGCAACTAAGATGATTAAGGGCCTGGAGACAGAAACATATGAATTGGGTATGGCCAGTGTAGAGAAAAGAAGGACTGGGGGTGACATGAAAGCAGTATTCCAGTATGTGAGGGGCTGCCTAAAAGAAGAATGGATCAACTTATTTTCCAAAGAACCAGAAGGCAGCTCTATTCTGATTGATTGAAATACTCCTGAGCATATATTTGGTAAGTGTTCAATTGGTCAAACAGTATATATAAGGAACCTGCATAATACCTAACTAGCACTTTGTAAGCAGATGCATTCACTGAATCTAGGTGTCTAGTTTCTCCTGAAGCTCATGGAGGCCCATGATCAGAGAAAGAGGTTATGCCCAAGGCAATCTCAACCAACCATTAGGAATTCAGACCATGAATCAAACATTATAGATCATAAATATTCCAAGACCTGTTACTGAAGAAATCAAAACAAAACAAAACAAAACAAAACTACTTTAAATTAGAACAGTCAAGGGAGCTAAAGGTTGAAACAAACATTGTTACAATGAGGACATAATTATCTAAAAACAGTAGTGTCTTCAGTGCTGCAATTAGTAGGAAGTAAATATGAAACTTTAGTGTGAATTCACCCATTAAGACAGCACTATGCAAACTAGACAACAATGGTTTATTTAACAAATCACAGGTACAAAATTTGGTTAATCTTATTGTAAACAAGGCCACTGGGTTCTAAAGTCTTTCCCCATATTTTAACAAAAAATGAACCTTAAGTGTTTCCACCAGGTATAACATTGCTTCTTATAATTTCTTTGAACAGTTTATTTTCTACTTTAATCCCATTTCTTCTTCCTTTGTCCTTATTCATTCTATTTTTACATATCTTGCCAGTTCAAAATTATCTTCATTTCAAGAATATTGCTATGTGTGAAACAGATGGAAGCTTAGAAGAGTTTTCTTGTTGAACAATAGCAAAATCTCTGTAATTCCTGTAATGATGTGACATGGGTCAGGGATGTTGGGAATTGATGGGAAGAGGGTGTCAACATTTTTATCATAACTGTATTTTATGAGGATTCAGAAGCAATTTCTAACCTAACCTAACTTTTCCCTAAGGTGCACATCTATGAATGCAATCCTATTTTCCAGGATTATTACCTTTGTAAACTGTGCTTCTCTAAATATGACAATCTTGATCCTGGTTACTGTGAATCCTATTGCTTCTACAATGATTTATATTCTATTTTTTTCCACAGTAAATTTAAAGGGGAAAGGGAGAGAGAAAAAGAATGAGAAAGAACTTAAGTTATTTAAATTGGAGGTTATTATCTTTTTGTTTTTCACAACAGATGCTCTGTGAATTTGTTGAACGTATGCATGTCAAAGCTTTTTAGAAGTATTCAGATGCACTTCTACAACCTGTAAAGTTTAACAGAGTAAAAGACAAAAAAATATTCCTGACATCTATGTGCACTAAATTCATGTGAGAAATACTATCTTTTTATTTGCTCAAAATGATCTAAAGTTTCAGTTGCACTGCCCACAGAAAATAAGTGCTATATATAGCGAGTGACCTAAGGAGCTGGATTTTAACAGCTGATCCCATTTTGTAAAAGAAAGAAAGGAAGGGGGGTGGTGGTAATGATTCAACCATTGCTTTCTCATGAAAGGCCTGAAAAAGAGCTGTCTCCTGATTTTTTTTTATTTTTTACACATTTTTTTTCTTTTTGTGAGCTCTGTTTCTTAATATGCCAGACCAATAATAATTTGTTTCCAGAAGACTTACAGTATTGAAAAATAGCTCCCTGTTCAATATGGCCATATTGAAATTGTCGGCATTTTTCAGGCTGCCATCATAACACACTTTTCTGGGCAGAATACTACTCAAATCAGTGGAATTTCACAAACGGGAATTAAATGACTGGTAAAACATATAAAACTAACATTGATTATTTATAACATGTATTCATACCTGCAGAGAGAACTTGTTTCACTTTGAAGACCAGGCCTTTTGTTCTAAAAGGAGCCCAATCAATCCTGCATTAAACCAGTTTCATCCATCTTGGCCTAAAATTAGTTCATTCATACTGGTATCATCTCTCAGCTCTGAAACATAATCCCAAAAAGTTGTTTTCTTTCATAGATTTGTATGGGGAATATATTGCAAATGATTGCAATTGTTTTATTTTACAGGAAGACATAGTAAAATCTAGATTTAATCTAGAGCAGGGGTGTCAAACTCGCAACGTCACGTGACATGTCGTGATGTATTGTGACTTTTTTGCCATTGCCAGCAATGGTGTGGGCACGGTTTCACTATGATGCATCTGGCCCACAGGTCGGCAGTTGACACCCCTGATCTAGAGACTTGTGTGGGGTTGAAAAGTGCCAAATTTCATAGAAGCAGATACAGGAATTCTTAAGAATGCATCTTGAATCCATTATTTTTATTGTTTTTAAATGGAGGATGATTCTGCAACTCTCAAAGCTTTCTCTGTGTGAAATAGCCTGGGCAAATTTCAGCTAGTTGTATGGGAAAGAGGTCTCTTGGATAAATGAAGAGGAGGATGTAATGCCACTTCCTAAATGTCATCTGTGATTAGGGTGGAAGTATAATAGATTAACTTGATAGCCTTTTTATAAATTGGCTTTCTGGCTGTTAGGTCAGGTCAGCTAGCTTCTGCAGTTCAGATAATACCCAGGATTGGAGACAGTGAGATGACAATGAGGTAAATGTTACAAAAGTCAGGAGCTCCATTGTTGGCAATATTGAACAAGATAGTGTTCCAAAATTGATAATAATTAGAATGGAGCAGAAAAGAATTTGTGCCTTTTGTGTTTTTAAAATTGATTTTTCTCTCCCTCTACCCTGCCAAGTTTTATCTCATTGAGTAAACATTGCAGAATTTACAAATAACTAAAGATTCCTTAAACTTGGATGCATCTCTGGCTGCCTATGTCTTAGCATGAATGCTGTGGACAGGATAAATGAAATTCCTAAATCTTGGTGTTATCTGCAGATAGCTGGACAGCAATAAACAGCACAGCTGTTGCCATTACCACAGACACAGCTGCTGTAGTGACAAATACCACAGCTACTGAGGCTCCTGTTACTCTAAACCATAGAAGGGTACCATCTGAACAAATGCTTGAGTTTGACTGTCAGATTCTTAGATGTGTCACATTTTTCTGTGGAGCTTTGGGCTGTTGTAACAGCTGTTTGTAAACACTGCAAATCCAACATTAGCCCAGGAAAGGAGGAGAGTATTGGCATTTTTCCCCAATGTCTTTCTTCCTGAACCATGATTTAAAAAAATATTGCAAATATGCTGATACTTCTGCTGGTGACTGAAATAGCAACCAGCTTAATCTTTGAATGGAATAACCAATTGGCAGCCCTGTCAGAGAGTCCTTCTATGTCAGATGACTCATCATTGTTTCTGAGAATGTCCATTAAATGGCCAAATCCAGTTAGACCAACAAAACAATCAATTAGAAAAGTATTTGGAAGATGTTAAATTTTAGACTTATTTATTCTTGAGCTAGCAAAATATATTCCTAATCTTGTTATGATGTGCTGAATCCCAGTGATTTGTGTGTCAGATATCTGACATTCTATAAAGGTAAGCTTTAAAAATATTTCCATCCATTCAATCTTGTAATATGCTCTTAATCAGATATGAATCTGAAACGTATATTTGACAAAATTTCCCAAGGCACTTATTAGAAATCTTCGAGTGGCACTGGAATATTGGAAAAAAAATACAAGACACAAAAATGTAGAAAAAATATTTTTATGGATTTATTCCAAAGTATACTCTCCTCCTATCTGTAAATGTCATTAACAGTACACATATGATTTCCAGAGTGAACTCTGTTAAGATATTTCTTCTGATGTTGGTGAACAAAGAATGAAGAAGCAAAGGCAGAGATGAAAAATTAGCCTCATTTTCATCTTGATGTTATTCCTGTCAACAGCACCAGGCCCTCTTATACATGGGATTTGTTGTTTCATTGCTCTTGCAGGACAAACTACACATATTGCAACCAATGATGGTCTTCAACTGGATCCTCTTTCACTCCCCATCCTTAAATCCAATATGCTTTAGAGATTTCAAGGTATTGCTGAACATATACAGGGGATAGAAGAGAGAGAGAGAGAGAGAGAGAGAGAGAGAGAGAGAGAGAGAGAGAGAGAGAGAGAATATCTACTAATATGATTTTGTATGTAACTACACATTAATCAAAGTTTATATTAAGTCTTATTTTGTGTTAATTATCTAGAGTTAATCCTTGACTGGAAAATTTTTATTTCATAAATAGTTATTTCTGTTGGGAGCCTGTTAATAAGAGAATTCAGTTCTTTGCCTTCTGCCGTGGTCATAGCCTCACTTGAATCTCTTGCTTATCTTATTCATATCAAGTGGAACTTTCATTTGCTTCAGAGGGAGGTTGTTTTTCCCTAAATTCAGATAGTGGAACAAGTCTCCAGTTGAGATTAATATCACAGCAGGAGAAAATATTGAAAGTCCTCTTCCTCCAAACGCCAACCTTCATACTAAATGGGAGCTCCATAAGGCTATTACTGAAAGAAAGGAAAAAAATGGCACTGAAGGATTAACCATATAATTAACATAATTTGTATTTTGACTCTTAGAAGGACAGTCAGGTAACAATCAGCTGTGTTTATCCATCTACGCCAAAATTAAATGAGGCATATCATCAGTAGAAAGTTCATATCAAAATCTACCATAGAGAAGGAATCACAGCTGGACACTTGGAACAAAAGGCTCAGGATGAGACATCAAATTAATCCCCATGATAAAGTAATCAGGGAACATTGTCCCTATGTCAGAAAAACAAATTTAAACATGAAAACACCTTTATATAGTATATAGTTGGGTTATCTAAGAATTAAGCAATTCTCTTCGCTTAATGAATTCAAATATTACAAAGCTTAAAGAAAATAAACAAAACCTAAAGCCAAGTAAAGTCATTTCCAATTACCACAAAAAGCAGCGTTAAAGCTAATCAGCCAACAAGGATAGGTAATTTAAGATCCTAGCCCAAACATCTGAAGGAACAGCCAGGTTTTGTGTATATTAGGAAAGGCTAACAGAGTGATGGCAATGCTAATCTCTTGGGGGCTATTTTTCCACAGAGTAGGAACTACAATAAGGGCATAACTTCTAGGTCTAATAACATGACTTTGCTTAATACAAGAGACTTGGAGCATACCATTTCTATCAGATCTGGTTTCTGAACTGAGCAGAAACAATTGGAGACAGGTGGTCTTGCAATAGCTGGCCTTTTGACATTATAAGGTGGGGTGTCAAACTGGTGGCCCACAGGCCGGATGTGTCATGCACAGGCCACACCCATCTGACTCTGTAAAGGCAAAAAAGTTTCGAGGTGTCAAGATATGTCACGAGACATGATTGAGTTTGACACCCATGTTGTAAGGCTTTATAGATAATAATGGATGCCTTGACTCATATCAAGAAGGCCATTGGAAGCCAGAACACCTTGTAGAATAGCAGTGTTACCTTATATTAAAGCTTAGTGGAATGCTGAAAGCTGTCTGCAACACTGCATTCAGAACTGGTTGTAGCTTCCAACTGGTCTTCAAGGGCAGCCCTATATAGAGTGCATTATATAATCCAAACAAAAGGTAACTAACATGTGAGTCACAATGAATAAGCCTCCCACCCCAAAAGGAGTCATTAATGCACCAGTCAAATTTATGCATCCTAACTATTGCTACCACTTCTTTGAGCAGGGGTCATGAATCCAAGATTACTCTCAAGCTACACACCAACTCTGAGTGGGGGTGTTTAGCCTAATTCAAAGATGGAAAAACTCTGGATTGTGTGTGTGTGTATGCTCAAAACCATAAATACTTGGTCTTGCCAGGGTTGAGCCAAAACCTGTTTTTCCCCATCTAAGTTCATAGACCCTACAGACAGTAACTAAGAACTTCAACCATATAACTTTGTCAGCCCAAGGTATAAATGAACAGCTAATGATATCTCACCCCATGCCAACAGATTATCTCACCCAGTGTGTTTGGATAGATGTTAAATAGAACTGTGGAGAGGATGAAGCTCTAGAGCATTCCACAATGCTTCATCTATCTTCCCTAATAACATCAACTAGAATTGACCCTGGAGAAAGGAAGAAAACCACCTCAACACTATGCATCCCATAATGTATCATAAGTGACTGACTTATCAAGGAAGGCATGTTGGATGTACCATCCTCATCCCAAGCCCACCATAGTCATCAACAAGTATAATCAATGCAGTTTCAGTGTTATGAAAATCCTGGTTCTACTTCCTATAGGGCTGTAAGCCAATCATCTTCTCAGCAGTCTTCCTCCTAAAGCAGTGGTTCTCAACCTGTGGGTTGTGACCTCTTTGGGGGTTGAATGACCCTTTCACAGGGGTCGCCTAAGACCATCGGAAAAAATATATTTCTGATGGTCTTAGGAACCGAGACACCACTCCTCTATCCATCTCCAGGTGGTGAGTCTGTCCATGCTGGCGCCGAGGCCGGAGTCCGGTGGGGTCAGGCTGCGAAGCCGGGTGCTGGCAGAGGAGGAGGGATGGGCTGCGTGGAGCGAGGTGTGGGGCAGGAGGGCGGTGAGGAGGTGGGCGTTGTGGCTCCTGCTGCTGCTGCTGCTGAGGCGGCTGATCGTGATGCAGAAGCACCATAGCATGGAGCGGCGCAGCTGAGGGTGGGCAGGCCGAGGGGGAGGTGCGACCCTCCGCATGATGAAATTGCAGGCACCGCCGCCTCACCAGCTCTGCCTCAACTGGTGCAGGGGGCGGCGCCACACATGCACGGCGCTCCCAGGCCAAGGCAGTTGCTGGGCGATGGCCCGCGTGCACCCTCAGCCTACCCGGCATGCACTCCAGCTGCAGGAGAGGAGGTGGAGTGTGCGTGCCACAGAGAGAAAAAGAAAAAGTGAGAGAGAGAGAGAATGAGAGCAAGCAAACCCCGCCCCTCCTCCTGCCCCCACCCACAGGGTCACGGCATTAGGAAGGTTGAGAACCATTGTCCTAAAGGGAACTTATTTTGGGAAGTGAAAAATTATTATCACAAGATGGCTTAGTTCAAATAGCATGCATAATAATTTAGAATGAAGTCATTGTCTATGAGTCTAAATTGTCTGTTCTAAAAGACAAGTCATGGATTATACTTCATAATTAACATTTATATTACTTTTGTTTAGCAACCAGTATCTAATCATAAAAACCAAGGGGCTACAGAACTAAGCATAAGTTAGTTTGTCATCACCAAAAATTACAACATCCTAATCTTCCTCTGATTATGGTCTAGCAGTCAAGCCAGTATTCTCAATATATTTAGGATTTTTTTTTCTTCCTAGCATTTTCTCACAAGTGTAAGGTCCACTTTTTTTTCTGGATCAACTGAGTATTGATCCATTAGATATCAACTGGATATCTATTATCTACAATAGGTTGTTTACACTGAGTCAATACATTTTCCTCTGTCCTAAAATGCCTATTATAAGCACACATGTAGACATTTTTTTGATTATTGTCATATTTGCTCTACTTGTAATGATCTACCACTTGTGTTCCTTTCTAAAACAACTGATGTTTGGCATGAGTGTTAGACAATGTTTATTACATGTTGAATGGCAGTCTGGATAATGATTCATGTACCATGTACAGTCTGGATCCCAATGATTTTTCTATGTTATGTCTGTCTTCCTGAGTTAAAAAAATGCTACATTCCTATTTTCAATATGAATCACAAGTATTATTCTTTTGAATATACAATCTGTTCTTTTTAATTCCTTGCAACCCCCACAGTGAAAGTTTTTGGAGAACCACACACAAACTCAAAATAACAATATAAAATTAGAACTTGAAATGATGTGACCCTCCACATTCTACTTCACCATATTGGAGCCCACCTACAGTAGCTATTTTAGTTCAGCAGAAACTGAACTGCAGCCATGCTGCCAAGACGACAGTGAGTAGGATTATTACAAAAAGTGTAGGGGTTGTTGATTTTATTGTGTCTGAACAGTACTGGAAACCAAATGGCTCTACATAATTATTACTGTATTTTAATGGTTATAGAATACTTCCAGAACCATTTAAACCCATGGATTTGATTCTGAAGCTCAATTAAGGAAAGTCATGAGACTGCAATGAGAAAAATGATCATAAAATCCTGTGAATAGTCCTTCCCATGAATAGTCATTTCAACTCATATTAATAAGTCATGGAGATTGTAGTTAATGTCCAGGCCAAATGTATAAAAATTAAAATGTAGTTTACTATGAATGTGGCATAATTCTGAAAGAAATTAAGAGAGCAAATGGATAGAGGCAGTTACCTTTCAATTAGTACAAATGGAAACTTTCCTTCGATTGGAAAAATGGGAGGGGAAAATAGATATAATTTTAAAAAGAACTTCTATGTATGGTGCTTTCATATGTTTATTTTCAGAAAATATAACACTGTGAATATTTTTCAATTACAGGTAGTCCTTGACTTACAACAGTGCATTTAGTGACCATTCAAAGTTACAATGGCAGTGAAAAAAGTGACTTTTGACCATTTTTCACACACTACAGCATCCCCATGGTCACATGATCAAAACATCGATGTTTGGCAACTGGTTCATATTTATGACGGTTTCATGTTTTGGGGTCAGGTGATCAGCTTTTGTGATCTTCTGACAAGCAAAGTCAATGGGGAATCCAGATTCACTTAACAACCATGTTATTAACTTAACAAATGCAATGATTCACTTAACAACTGTGGCAAGAAAAGTCATAAAATGGGGCAAAACTCACTTAAATGTTTTACTTAGCAACATAAATTTTGGGCTCAATTGTGGTCGTAACTTGAAGACTACCTGTAATAAATTAATGCTTTTGGTAAAAGTTTGCAACCTTACTAAAACTAGGATTTAAAAAAAGTGTCCTGAAAAGTCAGGTGAAGGAACCTGCAGCTCTATATATAGTAAAAATGTTCAGCTCATTCATGGAAGTATCTGAGGCCAAATGTAGACTCTTGCCTCAATATTCTTTTGGGGATCACAGAAATCTCATGACAGCATATCTACATGAAATATTTTTTCTCTCTTTCGATTTAAACCACGTGCAGGTCTTCACATTCATATGGAGAGAGGACCAGGCAAGTCCATGCAGGCGCTCATACAAATACAAGGAGTAAAATGATCCTTCAAAGACAATAACAAACAAATGTGACATATGATGCAAATGAGCTAATAATTACTCCACCTTATTTAAAAACAGACTTTATTGTCACTTCAACTACATAATCTTCCAGAATACACTCTGCACACACTCACGCACATACATACACACAGATAGGCAATTTCCGTTTTTAAATTTTCCAAATAGTTGTGTATTTGCCAAGAAGGCCTGGTTCACATAAATAAAGTGCTTTACAACAATTCCAGGACAATTGGCATCCTTTCATAGAGAACTTGGTTCATTTCACTGAACCATAACATTAGTTGAATGAAGCATCCCATTTCAACTCAAGTCAGAATATAGTCCAGTAGTCTTCAATTTCTTTGTTGCAGAAGTATTTATCTTAATAAAATAGCTACTCCTCTCTCTCTCTCTCTCTCTCTCTCTCTCTCTCTCTCTCTCTCTCCTCTTTTTTTCTTTAAAGAGGGGTTTCATTGCCTTTTGCTGATTAAATACTCATGCCCTGCCAAGGAAATGCTTATATTTCCAGCACAGCAAAATGAAGCTTCTGCTGTAATTTCCAGCTTTTTGCATCAGTTTGTATCCCTTAGTGAGAAATTTTTTCTCAGAGCACACTTTCCCTGATCTATTTCATAACTGATCTGAATTTGATCTTCCCTACACCACCATTTGCTTCAAGCTCATGATGCTTTAGCTTTGATAACAGCAGGTGATAATCCAATGTGACTTAAATTTCCTAAAGAAATAACTTTTGGCAGATTCAGTCCTTATTGTGAGGAAGCATTTCTATTTTTGGCTACATTTTGTGACACAGCCATAAATATAGAAAGTCTAATGGAGAAAGGAATACCAAAAAAAAAAAAAAAAACTACTAAAAATAGTTAAAAGAACAAAAGAAGGAATCCTTATTTTAGAAAAAAAAAACACGTACATTCTGAAGATAACACTCAGCTGTTTAACAATACTAAAAAAATGATTAAATTTTATTTGAATTTTAACTAACCTTTTCAGCAATAAGTTTACTAGGTCAAAATTACAATTAATTGTAATTGAAGTGTTAATTGTAAGCCACTCAGAGTCACAAATGTGAAATGGCTGGCTATACAAACTGAATATTTTACTAATCAAAAATATTGGGTAAACTTTCAAACACCCCAACATTCTT